GGCGACAAATCTGGGAACCCTGCTTTTACTTGCCATTTTATGGCAACCCTAATGCCGCCTTGAGAGAAAGTTATCTCACCGCGGCTGGGCATTTCGTAACACTATCCATAAATTTACCTATTTTTGCTCTAATATGTACAGTAGATAAAATTCTGAATACATGAAAATTTTAATACTTAAAGAAATGTTGCATTCTTTGAAACAAATTAATTTTTTCTAGGAGCTAATTTGAAGGCACTCAACACATTTAAGTAAGTAATGCTGTAAAATAAAACTTGAGGTTTGTTTGATGGGTATAATTTCATAAAAGCTCATTTTCAGAAAAACTTGGAAGACCAAACAAATCTCTTCATCAACTATATTTTAATTTAATTTTTAAAATTTCTTGTACCATAATGACATTGTCATGATTGCTCTTCAGTCTTACGCTGGTTTCATTTTGCCTTTTTACGATTCTTGCATCCAGACTGATCTTATAAATTATTCTTCCAAATCTGAAAAACGGATTTTGTCAATTTTTCGAAGCCCTTACTCGTATACATCTGTATGAATCACTGAAACTCTCAGTACCTGAGTTCGAGAAAAAAATATCTTCATTGAAAACTTATCTATCTCTCCATTCAATGTTTTTACAGAATTTACCTAGATTTTGTGTCGACCTTCACCGGAATGCAAACTAAGTAGTCTTAGAACAGAAAAAATAGTTATTATTTAATTACTTTCAAAGTTAACAAAAGCCACTTTGAACTTGTTTTGATTATGGAAAAGCACATGAAGACTGCCCGAGCAGAGGTTAGGTTAGGTTACTGGAATATAGCGAAACATGTAAGGGCTGTCTACCTATGGGGAACGGGTGCCTTCGGGGAGCACTTTCCAAGGAAAATGGCTCATATTCACGTTACACATGGAAAAAAACTACGAAAACCAACCATGAAGACAGCCCCACGTGCATTCAGCGTTCTAAATCACTTTTGCCAATCCCTGCTTAAGACGGCTTTCTTCTTAGACGACTTTCTAAGACTATCAGGACTTGTGTTTCTTTTGACTTGCTTTGGAAACATGACTGGTCCTGACTCGGAACAGGGAGCTTACTCAAGCTATGTTCTAGAAATTGTGAAGTAGACAATACAAGCAGGAAGAGGTATACGAAACTCTTTATTTTCTATACTTTACATGAATTTCCCAAACTTCGGAATACAGAGACCCACCACTTGTGGTCTGAAAGTAAGAATATAAAAACTACTAACTAAAACTAACTTTCAATTAGTAAACAAGTGCCTAGCATTAAGATTGGCCTTTATTTTAACAAAGGTCCGTATGTAGTACGCCGAGCTGCTAAAACTACGATACGTTTGCAATTATCAAGAGGACTAAACCTCTGGCCTTGAAGGCAACCAGCAACAGAGCGAAAACTCGTAAAACTACAATGGCAAGCGGCTTGCTTCCAGTAACTCCTTCCTCTCTCTTGCTTGGCAGAAAGCCACAACTTAAGTACTTGGCGTTAGCAAGACAATTTGCATAAATAAGTTAAAGCGTTTAATTCTGGCCGGAAGTAGAAAATAAGAAGTGATAGTAAAGATTTAAAATAAACGTTAGTAAAACTTAGGATCCTTACAAGACAAACTGTCTGATATTCGCTTTACACATAGAAGATACTACGAAGACGATCATGTATCAAGCTAGTTTACCAGGATTAGAGCTCGGATAGACCAGAGCTCAGCGACTTAAACGCTCGGTCGCAGGTAAGTCTCAAATGTACTGAGGGTTTACCTAGCGATCAAAACTAATTTATGCGGGTCTTTTTCCAGCCTGTTGCGGAAATGTGTTCCTGGTTGAATTATTAAGAAAGTGAAAGTTATTTTTGATTAGTGGCTTGTTAAAACTTAAGAGTGTGTCCGCAAGAGTGAGCTACTTGAAGTTAAAAATTCTTACTGTACACAATACTATTCTTACTATATAAAAAATCCTTAGTTTTACTCGAGATTATAACTGGTTTAATTTAATTCTTCTCAAGCAAAAGCCGTAAGTTCTGCAGTTAATTTAATTTATGTAATTTGTAAAGGAATAAACTTTAAAGTTTAATTTGCCGCCTTGATTTTTTGTTCCGTTACCGAATATTCAGAGGTATTCCAGTTCCAATCAATCCTAATATTTGAAATTCTATAGTACTTGACCAAATCCTTTATACTGTTTGGCATTACTGCAACGGTTAAACAAAAGCGTAAAAGGAAAACCTCAAACATATTATTCGCAATCTTGTATCTAATTTTTCAAATTAAAATTCACTATCATAACCTCCTTTCCGTTATTAAATCCCTAAACTAAATGCTTCAATAAATGAGAATCTGCTAGCTTCGTTTGCAGCATTTATGTTCAATGTGCCTTGATAAATTTTAAGGTCTATTTAAAACGATACATGAACTTTGTTTCTACGCAAGACTTCAGGGCAGAACTTTTTTTTTTCCCAAAAGAAAAGAATTCTCAGAATCTATTCAATTCGATCTATTCTATACTTTCTATTCGGTCAGATGAAAAAGTTGCAAGTGACGAATTTCACAAAAAATTTTATTGTGTTTATTATTTAAGACCTTTTCAAACCAGATTTGTTAACTACTGCACTTTTGGATCGGTTCCAACGCTAAGGAAGTGCTTCTATCATTAACTTCCCTCCATTAACAGTAGTTTGTTACCTGTTTTCTTATTTGTTCGAAGCAAAAGTTATTTTAACAAAGCTGTATAAATGTCCAACATGGCAGTAAAGCATAAAGTTCTGTTACTTATAGGAAATTGCTAATATTATTTTTATTTTTAACTGCCTTGCTCAACTTCCTCTTGGTGATGCGACAATAAAAGGAAAAAAAAAACACAACAAAAAACACGAACTCTCTTATAAAAATAAATAAACTCTTTAAGGTGACTCGTGATTGCAAAACTAAGACTTTAACTTAAAGTCCTAATTACGTAAATCATCAACAGAGTAAAATTAAGTTTATCATATCAAATCTCATACCCTTTAAGCCATTAATGAAAGGAAAATATCCTCTGTGGTCTTGTAAGGATCTTAAGTTTTACTAACGTTTATTTTATTTTAAATCTTTACTATCACTTCTTATTTTCTACTTCCGGCCAGAATTAAAAGCGTTAATTATTTATGCAAAATTTGTCTGGCGAACGCCAAGTACTTAAAGTTGTGGCTTTTTGCCAAGCGAGAGAGAGGAAGGAGTTAGTCGAAGCAGGCCGCTTGCCTCAGAAGTTTTACTCGGTTGTTCGGTTGCTGTTTGCCTTCCAGGCCAGAGGTTTAATCCTCGTGATAATTTTAAACGTATTGTAGTGTTAACAGTTCTCTGTACTACATACGGCTTCCTGTTAATATTCCTGGAATGTTCTTTAATGAACGAAACAGGATACTCAAAATTCGTTCGTTCCTGTTAATATACGGCCAATCTTCCTTGTTGATTATTCCAAATTTAATTATATTCTTACGTTCAGACCACAAGTAGTTGGTCTTTGTATTCCGAAGTACGGAAATTATTGTAAAGAGTGAAAAATAAAGGGTTTTGTATACCCTTCCTGTGTATCCTGTCTACTTCCCACATTTGTTGAACATAGCTTTAGTAAGCTCCCTGTTCCGAGTCAGGGTGTTTGCATGTTCCCAAAGAAAGTAAGGCGGAACATTGAACCTGATAGTCTTTCGGTAAAATCAAAATATTGTTTATCAAAACAAAATGCATTTCAGTAACAAATTCATCAAACTACTATCTCTCGCTAAAATAAAACCATATCAGCTGTCCTTCCTGAAAACTCATAAATTTCAATACAACTCAGATAGAGATAGCTACAAACACTTTTCATTTAAATATAACATAGAACACTTCAAAACTCCAGAGAAAGATAAGTCTCACAAGAAAGAAGTCAAATCACCAGTTCAGATAAATAATGAGCATAAGCAGAGGTAACCGTCCAAGTTTTTTATGCATTAATTACAATCTTTCAATATATGCACCGCTGGTCACACGACATAAAAGCAAGAAATTGCATGGTGTTAAATCTGGATAACGGGATGGCCAGGGGAGAAATTCGTTGTCTGTTGTTGCAATACGTGCAATCCAGCTTTGGCGAACAGTGAGATTAAGAAGCTCTCGTACATTCCTATGAAAATTGGGCGAAGCACCATCCATTTGAAAAATGTGATCATCATAATTGATGTTTAGCTAGGGTTACAACCAGGGATGTTTAGCCAGGTATCCAACATGTCTAGAAATGAATCACTGTTCCCAGTTTCTTGTTCGAAGAAAAATATGCCTTACATTTTCTTATGGGACAACGCATAGAAAACGTTAACGAAGCTCACGTTGCACTGAAACCACAGATCTGGAACATCTCAAAACGGAAGCACGCAGAATGACTTTTCCTGTTGCGGCGCCATCTTGGAAACTGACGCTGCGGCTGCACAGTAAGCATGACAAAGAAACATCAGACAGCATTTAAGAAACTTGGACTGCTGCTATGCGTAGGGTGTGGGTTTTACATGGGTAAGGTAATACATCGATTTATTATTGATTTTTAAAACCGCACCATTCATTTACAAACACCCTGTATATAAAACGTTCCTGCAAAACTTTGTGAATGTGGTAGCATTAGAAGTTCTATACCCAACATGTCTAGTAACATACATAGCGAAAATTGCCTTGGATTAATTGCATTAATACTGTTATTAAACTTTTTGTGAACAAAAAGTGTTAAGAAAAAGAATTAAGAAATGCATATTATTTCTAACTTCCTGACGTTATTAAAATGAGCATATAATAGCTTTTGTCGTATTCATTAGTAATATATTGTTCAGTTTGAAAAGTATAAATCAAATCCTTTATGCCATTGGACAGCTTTTTATTTAGAAAAATAAGAATTTCTTCGCGCTATGAAAACAATATCGCATGAAAAAAATTCTTCCTGGTGTTTAAAAAAAGTCAGTGAAAGAAATGAGGAAGTTCAGTGGATTTTTAGAACATAAAATTTTTACCTTGCTGCATCATGTTTTGATTCATCATATTCTGATTCATATTTTGAGCAGCCATCTTTTGATTCATCATGCCTTGATTCATCCCCTGGTTCATCATACCTTGATTCATCATCCCTTGATTCATGCCTTGGTTCATCATACCTTGATTCATCATACCCTGATTCATGCCTTGGTTCATCATACCTTGATTCATCATACCCTGATTCATGTTCTGGTTCATCATACCTTGATTCATGCCTGAAAGAAAAAGCTAGTTTAGAATACTCCTTCATACTATGGGACTTTTTCAGCAAGACTCCCATGTGAAGTAAATGCTGTAAGAAAGAGGAAGCCAGCACGGCCTATTATATATTAGTGGGATGCGCTTTACCTCACCCGCTTGACTAATTTAGGTATTCTGAATACTGTAAAGTTACACCTGAGCTCTATTAAGGGGCTGTCAGACTTTATAAACAAAGTGGGAGATCTAAAGAAATGGAGCTAGGAAGCATTGGGTTTGGTGCGTTTGTCACAAAATAATATTTAGCAGAGGTGCCTGATACTTGACAAACTAAACCTCAATAAGAACAAGAACACGCTCTCCTACGCTCTTCTATTAAAGTGACCCAAATCTCAGTTTAAATATCGTTTCTACCTCATTTGCATAAATCAAAATCCTGAAAACTAATTCTGGTAGGAAAACGTAAGTGGCGAATGAGAATGTATAGGAAAGGCTCGCTCTAGAATAAAAAGTAACTATAACAGCAATAAAGTAAACCTTATAAACGTTTCAATAAATTGAATTAAATTAAATGCATTCTCAATGTAAAAAATGCCTAGTCATAATTTTGACTGTCTCTGATTAATTACACGCGAAGCAGATAAATCTTTGTCAGCAACTTAAAGTAGAAATATGAAGTAGAATAAACAATCAGTCAAGTTATCAGTTGCTTTTCGCTAAATTTTAAAACTTGAGCCTTGCACTTTGATGGGCGTTGTCAAAACATAGGAATATCGAAGAGTAAAAATAATAAAATAACTGGTTGGTTAAAATAAACCTCTACAAAAAAAACTGCAAAAATTATCAGCATTAGATCGAAGTTCTTGTTCGAAAATGGATTTAAAGCGTTAAATACCGTTTCAGTATGCACCATGCTAATTATGAGACATACATGAATCACTGAGATGCTGTTTAGGAATTTATTTTTACCAACGTCAATAAAAAAGCACTTAGAGCTCATTGCGCATAGTTTTAGGCCTCACAGTCTACATCAAAATCTATCATTTTCTTTTTTAGGATAAACAGTAACGCCTTCAAACAAACGTCTGTCATATTTTCTACAGAGTCGATTCAATGAAGCAACAAAATCGAGTTAAACTTCCCTGTCCCCCCCCCGAAAAAAAAGGTAGCATGCACGGGACTCTAAACTGCCAAGGTGTTCTACCATTTTTAATTCTATCAAAGTAAAATTTCAAAATGTCAAAAAAATCGATCACATTTAGAATTTTTTAAAAAAAAATTGTGTTCGGGTCGTTTTAACGAAAACTTACCTGTAAGACATATTTTTAAAATAGCAAATGCAGAGTTTATTTGAAAAGCAAATTACAAGTTTATAACAATCAGCAAATAAATATTAGAACAATTCCAAATAATTTCAAAATTAAATCCACCTACGTGTAGATCATAAAATCTGTATAGAAACTAACCATTAAACAAAGGAATCCAATTAAAAAATCTGATGTGTACACCACTTGACTTCTTTGTACGGAATATTAAATTATACGCATTTTTTCTTGCATTCCATTTAAACTTATTGGATTGAATTAAATCTACTTCGCCGACAGCGCATAAACCACAATAGAATAAATGCATTCTTTAAAATTCACTCTAGTATTTGTATACCATAGCGACACTCTGGCCCTAAATTCACTTAACAGTATTATATTTCGTTCATATTATAACTCATAATACACAAAATTTATATAATTTAAAAAATAGAATTATCTAATCGTTGCCACATGTTCTATTCAAATACTATAATAAAGCTAGAAAGATGTATAAAAGAAATTAAGCAAACAAAGCAAAAAAAGAAACAGTTATTCACAGACCATTGAGTATTTCTCATTCAATTAATTCAGTTCTCACTTTGCGAGAAGGCAAAAATACATAAAAACTCAAAATATCTATATTAAAAATTACGAAGTAAATCTTAAACACTTCCAGACAGGATTAAGCATGATTTAATTGGCAACAATAAATGAAGGCGTTATCTTTGTTGTTGCCAAGCTAAGTTTCTCTAGATTGGCATTAAATTCACTAGTCTGCTGTTTCAAATGTAAACAATCAATGGCCGCCGTGAAAAAAGGCTTAGCGGCACTTAAACAACTTTAAAATTGTTGATAATTCTAAAAATATTACATACAGATTTACTAAAGGCATAAAAACCTTAACCGGAAGATAAGAACAACATATTTCAATCATTTTTAAAGCAAAAAATGTACAATTTACAAACATATAGAGTAAGAAAAACTGAGATCACTGAGCCGGGTAACAGAGTGGATATATATTAAAATATATATATAATATGAGCCGGGTAACAGAGTGGATATATATATAATATACGTTTGGTGCGGCCGATTACAACCAAAATACGAGGTGCACATCTACATGTTATAGCAGTCCTATATACAAAATTTTAACGTTCTGAGGCTACTCGTTTTTGAGTTATGCGAGATACGCACGTACGTACATACGTTCGTCCAGACGCCACGAAAAATTCTCTTCAGAATTAATTTTAAAGCAGTTTTATAATTTTTTTGGAGGAAACGAGTCTTTTATTCTGTCCTTAAGTACAGATATCACACAAAAACATCGTTAAATTGCATTCGATAGCGGTCAAAATGGATGTTTTCGTTGAAATATGCTGCCTGAAACTTTTCGCGATTGCAATACTTACTTTTTACTTCGTACAAAGAAGTAAAAAAGAAAAAAAAATCTGAAAGGATTACAATTTTCACATTAAACTAGAGGGTTTCTTGCGATTTTATGTGATCTGGCGGAGCTTACAGTTTACCAATCTGCTTCTGGACTCACTCCTGCTAACGCAACTTATTAATTAAAAAAATTACTAAATTACTAAAGTTTACTACTGTACAAATATAGAACTAAAGACTATAATAAATACTATAATAACAGATTTTTATATTACTTATAGTACTTTTCCTAATGCACTAAGTTATAGTAATATTCATAGATACAGTAGAACTTCAATTATCCGAATCAATTAGAACAAGACCCTATTCGGATAATAAAAAATTCGGATAATTTGATGTTTTCCGAAGAAAGGGTCTACGTCCACTTTTATTAATCACCTTTGTTTCAAAATGAGAGAAATTTTTTTTTAAAGAAAAAGAGGATTGAACTAATTAAAATGACAAGGCAACACTTTTGCGTACATGTTATGCAGTACTGTAGAGTACTTACAAGTGCTGAAAGTCATTGCTTGCTGAACTTCACGGTCAAAGTAAGCTGTTTGACGGACACCGTGACTGCATTTAAATTTCTTAGCCAGCCGTTAGCTGCTTTAAAGGATGAACAGCCAAGATTCTGAGCGAAGCTTTTTCACAAAGAATCGGACCAGAAATTGGTTTCCCATAGAACGCTGCTGTAAAAACCACTTGAAAACGACATCTTCTAAATTTTTGTTTGGTACTGCATTGATTTTCTTGTAGAACTTCCATCTTCGTTTTCAAGCATTGAACCGAAGTTTAAAAGTGTAGGTTTGCTCCTTTTAATATCTGAAATCGTTGATTGTTCAACAATACGTTTCCGTCTTAATTTTTTTCTTAAATTCTGAAAGCGATTCGGATAATCAGCGATTCGGATAGTCGGAGTTCGGATAACTGGAGTCGTACTGTACTTTGCACACAAACATATATATATATAGCTTTATTATAATTAATTAATTTATTTATTATTAACTTATTTGTATATTTATTAACTTATTTATTTACTTTGTTAGAGTCCCGGTGGCGCAGTGGCTAGCGCATCGCGCAGCAGCACCGCAGGTCCGGGGTTCGATCATTGGGCTGGGGAGGTCGACTCAGCCTTTCATCCCTTGATTTCCATCCTTTGGGTCGATAAAATAAGTACGAAGTTCGCTTGGGGACTAATAAACACTGGGGGTCCTGCGACAAGCTGACCCATTGTTCAGGGCATATACTTACGCACCCCGGGGCCCACGGCCAAGAAAGCAGATTTCGGGGCACTACAAGCATTGGTCCGTTAGGCTGTTACGCTGACGTTTTAGTTTTTTTTTAGTTTATTTACTTTGTTATTATATATTACTACTGGCCAGTGGCGGAGTGGCTAGAGTGTTGCACAGTAGCACCACAGGTGAGGCGCTCCATCCCAGTGCTGGGCAAGGTGGACTCAGCCCTTCATCCTTTGAGCGAGTCGATAAAATAAGTTCCAAGTTCCCATCAGACTAAACAGTGGAGTTCCTGCGGCAAGCTGATCACTTGTCCAGGGTATATGCTCATGCACCCCGGTTCCCACGGTCAAGAAGGCAGATAAAAAGGCACTGCAGGCCATGGCTTACTAAGGGCTGCGGCGCCTCTAAGTTTAGTGTTAGTTTTATTATAAACATCACTTTCCTCATACTTACGCCACATAAACTTCAATAGCAAGATCATAAATTTTTTAAAAGCAGCACAAGCTTCGAATTCGTAATACAGTGTTACGTGTTGACATTAATTTTCTCCTCAGTTTGCCATATGGATGCTCAGTTTTCTTAGTAAGATTGCTTACACAACGTTTTCGTTTTTATTTTTGAAGTTCTGTCTTTTTAACTTCGTTTATTAAACATCACTTTTTTCGCACTTACACTGCATAAAATGCAATAGAAAAATCACAAAGTATTTAATAACAGCATCCGAATAGAATGGTAAGGGTTGCCATACTTTTTTCTACATCCGTTATATTGTTTCTTTAAAAATAATGCATACAGATAACATTTGGTGCAACATCCTTTCTTTGAAAAGTGATACGGACAAAAAAATTGACGATCCAGTCAATTAGTACCTCTGATAAATAAATTCATGAAATCCGTGGAAAAGTAACTATTAAACAAATTTGCTAACCGTATAAAATTACTTCCTCATGCCCACAGTGGGCGTTTGAAAACCTTTTCCAGCAGATTTGAAATTAATGTTTAGAGGCACGAAGGCGAAACAGGTACAAACGTGATAACAATAAAATGAAATCTTTAACATGAATTGGTAGTTAATTGGGAAACACATTTGACAGTAAATCCAGTTTCATAAAAATTAATTACAAAACTGTCCAACCATATTGTTTCAAATAGGTTGCGACGAATCCGAGTTAGGCTGCGATGCAAATTCTCTTCACTTCTTTGTTGATGTTCGTGAAGGGACAACATTTGATTGAAAGATAATGGTTTCGGTCTGTTGCTCTATCTGCCGCTTCCTCTCGACCGCAATGGACACTAACTGTTACTAACAGTCTTTCTTCTTCCTTTTAACTATAATAACAACTATCGTATTTCTCGATTAAATTTAAAAGTTCGTTTAAACTATTACTTTAAATGATCTAATTGTTTGGAACAATTGACAGTTACGCCCTTTAGTTTTCATTATTCCCCAATTATGCCATCATTTAAACATGCATTAATCGATTTAATCATATAATTTGCATCAAGTCTTATTCATGCATATAATTCAAATCAGAGAGGAAAACAAATTGAAATCTGATTCCATAACTCATAATACTTTAGCTTAATTACTGAAAAAAAATCTGAAAGGTTTCAGATTTTAAATTACGTCCAAAGGGGTGTTTATTTAACGTTTTGTGTGTTACCTTTATTTATTAAATATCATGTTCTTTGCACTTAAACCATAAAATTCAGTTCAATAGCAATATAGCAAAATAATTTTAAAAATGAACACAGTTCCGCGCGCTGGAGATAAAAAGGTTTTTTTTTTTTCTCATAGAGTGTTACCATTGCTCGCTTTGAAGTCCTTGAGTTTGTTAATCAAAAATTTGTTAAATATTTAGAAAGTAATGAAATCGATCATAAAACAAATTCCAAATTTCAAATTCGGTCTTCCACATGCCCATATTCGTAGGAGGATTACGTCATTCAAAATTGGATGGCTCTAGGGACCGTTGTTTTATCACAATGCGAGAAATATACTTAAATTTATGCATACTTTTCATTACTTAATTTCTTCAAATATAATGCAGGACTCTAACACTTCGTGGCAACAGTTTGAAAAGTGAAACGGACATTTATAGTGAATCAACGCAAAATCGCAAAACGAAAACAATAGTCCTTCAGGGACAAAGCCCTTTTGTTCTAAAAATATCATCAAATGCTAATGTGAAATCTGATAGTGAGTCAAAAAATCAAAAACAATTTTAGTAATGACAAATGCATACGTATTCTTGTGTAGGCATTACATTTAAATAAAATAGGAAGTGGAATAGCAAGCATTGCCATTTAATGAAATTAAATTTTAAACATTTTAATCGAATTAAAAGTAAACTATATCAGAAAATGATTTCAGTTCACATTCTGCTGTAGATTTTTATTATTATACTTAGGTGTTATTTTTGACTCAAAATAATGCTTTGTCGGAATCAAGAGAAAATTTCCGTAAACATATTGTAAGGCTTTAGTTTAATTAACCCATTTTCTTATGATTCGAACTTTGCTATCACCTTTACTTTCGTTAGCTATTTCCAGGATATAAATCAGATAAGAACAGAGTTCTTGAAAGTTAAGAAAGTTAGCGTTTCGAGAGCCGAGTTGCAATTTGTTGAAACTGAGCCAATGCGTTTTAGGTTGTACATTTATGAATCTACAGAGTTAATTAATATTTAATTTTAAATTACATTTTTATGTTAAATTGAAATCCCGCAAGCAGCGGAGATTGATTTGTAAGCATAAGCCATGAACTATTAAATTAAATTTTAAATAAAAAGGTTTGTTTAAAACTTCGTCAATGTCTACAAATGCCATAGAGTCTCCCTTGCAAATCATAGCAACTTTCCAGCAAAGATAGCCGTCATCAGCATTTTCCCTTTAGTCTTCAACAAGCAATATTCCTGTCGTGTAACTTCCCTCCTTGTTCCGGTCCTTTATTCAATATTTCTCAATTTACATAGTCAGGTCCCAGAGGATATAGCTAAGCTGTAGACTTTTTTATTCCATTAATGGGATCCAGCAAGCTGATGAATACCTAATGCAGTGAACCAAATGTTCTGTCTATGACGAAAAGCAAAAAGGAATAAAATGTATTCACAGAGGGGCTATTAAGTCACTTGACACTCCCTGCAGGCGCCAAGTTATGTTAATTAAGGAGTAAAACCCTACAATATATGATATTAGAAAATCATGAATTAAATTAAAAGGCAGAAATATCTGTAAAATCATGGGTCTATAAAAAGGGAAGTATCCTAGTATTTACCACTGGCAAAGAAATCTCGTACTGAAGCCGCTTCAAATAACGCGCAAATATCTTTTTAATAATCCTGTTGCTTCAGAAAAACATCATTTGCCAGATTGGAATCAACAGAGCTAAATGAGAAAATTAGCGTTTAAATCGTTATGACTTTAGACATAAAGGAAAGGGACATTTTTACTGGTGAAGATGGTAGATGAACACTCATTAGAACAGTTACGGCCGAAAACATCGCGGCAAAAAAAAACATCGAGGACGGAAACGTCGCAGAGAAAACAACACAAGGCGAAAACGTCGTAGCACAAAACATCGTGGGTGCAAATGAAGCAAAGAGAAAACTTCGCAGTTCTAAAACCTTGTGGTACAAAATATCGTGGTCGAAAATAAAGCGGTTCAAAAACTTCGCAGTTTAAAACAACGTCGTCGTAAATATTGTGGTAAAAAATAAAGTACCTACAAATCATCGCATGATGATAACATCGCAGACATGCGTCTAACAGGCTTTAATAATTTTAATTGGATATTCGCGTAATGATTTGTGAGCGCAAGATCGAAAGAAGGGTAATTTTTACTTTCATATTTTTTATTAACTAATAAATTTATAAAAAACAAAACAGGAAATTTAAACAGAAAAAATAATTTTTCACTATAAGAGTATCAGATTAACAAAAGTGAAGAAAATAATATTATAATTAACTTAGCAATTTTTTATAAATAAGGGCATGCAGTTACTTATCTTCCTTTTTCTAATATTTTTTAGATTATACTTTTCATAAAAAATTACCAGTAAAACTTAATAAAAATAGTTTATTAATGACCTTTGTTAGTTAATTACTTGTATATCAGTTTAAAATTTTATTAAGTGCAATAAGTTGCATTAATTTTCTATGCTTAAGTTTCCATTTTACATTTCCATCAAATATTTGTTGGTTAATAAAAATTATGAAAGTAAAAATTACCCTTCTTTCCATCTTGCGCTCACAAATCATGATGCGAGTATCTGTTCACAATTATTAAATAATAATTTCACAATTATTAAATACTTAAAAGCGCATGTCTGCGATGTCATCGTCTTGCTATGATTTGTAGGTACTTTATTTTTTACCGCGATATTTTCGACGACGATGTTTTTCTGCCAAGTTTTTGAACCGCTTTATTTTCGACGACAATATTTTGTACCAGTATGTTTTAGAACTGCGATGTTTTCTCTTTGCGCGTTTTTCTCCCACGATGATTTGTGCCACGACGTTTTCGCCTTGCGTTGTTTTCTCCGCGACGTTTTCATCCGCGATGTTTTTGCCGCGATGTTTTCGGCGGACACCATTAGAACACAGATAACCAGGGAACATTTTTGGGTACGCAGTTCTCGTACTGCACAGAAGCAGCTGGTAACATTGATTACGCTGTCACTGGAAACAAACCAACATTGAATAGCTCGGTAAATGAAATATACTTGTAGCTCCCATCGGCAAACACTGAGTCTAAGATTGGATGTGATAGTACATAGTGGACAATGACTGCCACCGCCCTCTAGTTAGCTTTTGCTGCCAATGTGGTCTTCTACTGCAACCATAAGAAGTTCGATATTCTATTCTAGCTTAAACACAGGTTCTTTAACTCTCCTTTTCGGCACTGCGCAGATGCAAATGAAACAACTGTCTGCAAACAGTAGTAGCTGTAGTTATTATTAAGAATTATAACGTATTTCTCCCGCCTTCCTAGCGTGCCTTCGTGGTGAAGTGGTCAGCACACTGAGCCGGTATTTCAGAGGTCCGTGGTTCGATTCCCGACGAAGGCGATTGCTTATTTTTCATCTTACCTGATTCCTCAAAATAACCCAATGTCTCTACAGAATTATGTAACAACAATTTATAAATACATGAAAAATTTTACAGGATTATCAACAACATCCTATTTTGCCAGGATAGGGCTTTCATATAACATATGTTCTATACACCATCTTTTTTATAAGTTAAAAAGCATTTAACCACTGAGCTCGAAACTTCCTGTTTTACTCAGTGCTTTGAGTTCGCTAATCATTTCCAAGTTCCTTTCCAGAGTTTTAAGAACTTTAAAAAAATAATTAAACAAATAACCGACGATATAAAATTATAAAAAAAAATTCTGTGATGATTAAAAAAAAAATTATGCACCTTGATTGTTACCCATCATTCCACCACCTCCACCACCTAAAATAAAAAGAAATTAAAGCATTTAAAATCAAATTATACTGTTATTAAACATTCATTCAAAGTAATCTAACCTATCAAAGAGGAATTAATTAAAATGACAGACTAATAAAAATAATATTAAAATGACAGACTGAAAAGTTAATAAAAAAGGAAAAATTGTTAATTTTTGGTAATTAAATGTGATAAGAAATAAAAATTTAGAAAAAGAAAAAAATCAAAATTATCAGTCCCTGAAGTATTACTAGATATTTAGCTCAGTGGTCTGATTCTGTCATAAACGGGGGGGGGGGGAGTTTTCAAAACTGTTTTACCTCATTTTTCAAATTACAGTTCAACAACAGAATTGATTTTCTCCATTTCTTCATTAATAATAGCTTTGACATGCTTTTATATATAATGATAGTAGTAACTTCACACATTTCCGAAAGTGTTTCTGAACTAAACCTTTTTCTTACATCAGGTAGCTCCATTGTGTAATGAATTTTATATTTTCCACATTTCTGGCTGCTAGTTTCAATCATAACATGTGTTTTCTTTATTTACAAAAATATGATGTAAACACCACATGTGGCCAAATACATTATACACATTTTTTGTTGCATTTCATTTAAACTTATTTCCTCGAATTATTTTAACTTAATTAACGGATCCCTCGAGCCAAGTTGAAAATGACATAAAAAATTTGCAAATTTAGAATCCCAATGCATTTTTGTGTTACTAGAATTGAACTTCTCATAATTTTAGGTGTTCATAACGAGTATAAAACTTTCCCAAATATAAGCACAGGAGTCGAGAAACCACATTAAAAGTTAGATTGCGCTATTTGTCGAAAATTATTTTTTATTTAAATTTGACATTCCCCAAATATGAATAATCTTGTTAATTAAAGCCTTATTGTAACTGGACGTGTATGACTGCGACGCACGATTAGAAAATAAAGTCTGAGTAAGAATTTTTAAACCGGGTAAAGGATTGGTTAGAATTCTATGTTGGATATATATATGTAAGATAAAAAAATATGTAAATCAAAATTATAATTTAAACTAGCGGTAACTCCTTAATTTTCCTCTCTGTTTAAAACAACATAACAACTTCTCTCGATTGAATCATTTCTAAATCATTCCATTTTGCGTGAACTGCGCAGCAATGATGACGTAATAATTGGGAACTGAAACTTTTAACTCAAACCAAAACCTTTCTGTTCGTGTGCTTCCATCTTGCCTAACTACGCACTTCAGCTTCGCTCTCTACCTTGCTAGGATGTAACTTCGCTATCGTGCTTGCTATTGCAATAATATCAAAAATGTAAATGTTCTCTAATAAAGAACGGTTGGAATGCCAAGTGATTGTTGCCACAAACGTCAACTGGAAAATAAAAATGAAATTAAAACTGCCTCGACTGCCAATTTTTTTAGATATTACGAAGTCAACATACTAGCATACTACGCAATCAGAAGTCTTCCTCTTCAATATGGATCTACGTACGCAGGAACAATGTTCTGGCTTTTTCCCTTGTTTTTATTATGTTATATATATATATATATAGGCTATTCAGAAAGTAAGGAACGTTTCCGTCTGACGTCGCTAGGCGCGCGCTTATCACATATATTTTAGTGTCTGCGTGCTCGGCATCTCAGTCGGCGTCCAGCCATCACACAACGGGAACATTTCCACGCTGCCCGTGTTTTCGATATTTGAATTTAAAATTTGCACTGCAATTGAAAATCCCGCCAGTTGTGAGGTGCGGTCTGTGATACGGTTTTTGTTTGCAAAAAACCTAAAACCTATGGAAATTTATCGGGAGTGTGTGAAGTGTACGGAAACAACGTAATGAATGAAAGTTCAATCCGGAAATGGTGCATTCAGTTTAAAAATAGCCGAACTAACGTTCACGATGAAGAGAAGAGTGGACGCCCTAGCATTGTGACTGACGAACTGGTAGCTAAAGTTGATGAAAAGATTCGTGAAAAACCGCCGTTTCACAATAACGGAGCTTTCGCTTAGTTTTCCACAAGTTCCACGGACTTTTTTTGTTTGAAATTGTCACACAAAAGCTAGGCTACCGCTAATTTTGTGCAAGATGGGTGCCGAAATTGCTTACAGACCACCATAAAGGTCAGCGAATGGGAGCAGCTTTGACATTTCTGGAGGTCTATGACGGACATGTTGATTCATTACTGGATCGAATCGTAACTGGTGACGAGACGTAGGTGAGACACGTGAATTGCGAGACAAAATTACAGTCCATGCAGTGGAGGCACACAAGTTCCCCCCAAAAGACCAAGAAAATGTTTGCAAACCTTGTCACCAAAGAAGATTATGGCGACTGTGTTTTGGGATAGGCAAGGTGTGCTTCTGGTTGATTTTCTCGAACGTGGTGCCATAATAAACTCTAAACGGTACTGTCAAACTTTGCGCAACCTTAGGAGAGCAGTTCAAAACAAGCGCCGAAGAAAGTTGACGTCCAAAATTTTGTTTTTGCACGGCAATGCCCGACCTCACACGGCAAACCGCACTCAAGAACTCCTTAATTCATTCAAAATGGGAGGTTTTCCCTCGATTTTCACTTGTTTCCAAGAATGAAGAACTGGCTAGCAACACAGCGCTTTGACGACAACAAAGAGCTGCGTGTGCGCGTCACTAAGTGGCTGAGATCGCAGGCGACAGAATTCTATGACGAAGGAATTTCAAAGCTTGTCCGCCGCTATGATAAGTGCCTCAATCTGTTTGGTGACTATCTAGAAAAGTAGAAATCGCTCTTTCTGATGCATATAATATATTTTTTTCCTTGTACTTAGTTTCTTTTTAATTCCAAAACGTTTACTTTCTGAATACCCCTCGTATATAACAGTCCCATATAGAAATTTCAACGTTTTGCAGTAAATCGTTTCTGAGTCGTGCGAGACACATACGTAAGTACTTACGAATGTCGCGGAAAAATATCTTTTGAATTCATTTTAAATCAATATTTTCTAATCCGTTTTGGAGGAAAAAAAAGAGTCCTTTGTTCTGCCCGTTCGTGCAGACGCCAAGCAAAACAAAAGTCGTTCAAATGGGTTTGGGAACTGTCAAAATGAATATTTATGAAATACCCCAATTTTATCGCGATCACAATACTTCCTTTACTTCGTTTAATCGATGAATATTTAAAATCTCAGTTATAAAGACTGTGAAATGATCCCTTTTAACCGATTTTCTCATGGATAGTCATGCCGAAATTCTAAAGTACACTATAATGTTTCCTCTTCATTTTTAAGTTCTAGATTAGGTTAGATCAATTTTTTCAAGTACTCGAAGGTTATCTGCAATAAGACAGGACTCGCTTGGGAGATTTCTTAACACAAACTGACTCATATTCCCATTAAACACGAAAAATTCAAAGACCAGCTTGTTCAGTCACAATAATGGAGCAAAAAGTAAATAATTTACATCCACAATTTTGCTGATTTTGCCACTGGTAGTCTACTCGTTTTCTAAGCATGTTAGAAAAGGCCTCAATTCTGAACGAGCTTTAAGTTCTTATAAATTTTATATGTTCAAGAACATGTTAACGTTAATCTTGACCTCTGCCTTAGTTTCCTGATTCTTGTCTAACGCACAGCATTTAAGGACTTTCTCATGGGTATTTATACGGCGATAAAACAACGAGATTGAGATGTTTAAAAACGAATGAAAAAGTCTAAGAATAGCAACGAGATAGATGTTTTGTCGCTGCTGAATTTTTCTACAGTATATGCGAGCGATAATAGCTTTTGCAACAGAAAAATACAATTACCAAGAATTTTTCAATAATATAATAATCTACTGTCAGAAGTTTCTCCCCGTCTTATAAACAAAATAATGGTTATTAATTTCTTCGAGAGAGTTCTTGAGATATCTCATTTTATTTACAAGGTTTAATTAATAATAGATAAAAAGGATTAAAAAGCATTGCAGTGAACCTTGATTTTGATTGTTGCCCATCATACCACCACCACCACCACCACCACCACCACCTGCTCCTCCTCCTCCTGAAATAGACACAGAGAATACAGAAAAACAATATTTCAAAAGCATTACAAGTCGAGTATAATAAAATTAAAAGGAATAAGTTTGCTAAAGTACACTAGTGCTACGTCACTGCGATCGTTTAGTCATCTTATGGCGATGGTCCAACTGGCCACCCAAGAATGACATAACGGAGGCAAGATTTCGTTATGGCAACGAATTTATGAGCTAACTTTATTAAGACTGCCCTTTCGTTCCTTAGAATGATACTCCAATACTTGACAATAGATTTTATTACAAATCACAAAATGCTCGAAAATTCTTTTCAGTAGAAAATAAATCTTGATATCAAAATTGAAGAAGCAATACGTGGGTATAATGGAACGAATCACCAGTTTTCATATTGCCAGGTGAATTACACCAAACTCATAACCCCTTCCAACGGTGAAATTGAAGATAGCCGTAGGAAGGCCTAAAGAACTAACTGACGTTTATATAAACACATTTTAACAAATTTATTCCTTTTAACGCAACAAGTGTCAACATTTTACATTGTTCTTTTTATCCATTAAAAGACATAAAATCTAATGTCCAATGGGTAGGAATATTTGATATAAAAATATTCATCTGAAAATGACCATGGAATATTGCAAAGATTGAAATAATGGACTAAAAAAATGTAATCGATATTGAAAAATTATTATTTACATAATGGCAGAAAGCAATTTGTTTTCGATAAGCAATAATAAGAGAAAACATGAATCCCTTCTTGTTTCTATTCTAAAACAATAAATATTAAAATTTACGTTCAAGAGAAATTTCAAATTTTAAATTAAAAACTGTGTAGCTAAATAAAAACAACTAATAAAAACAATTGCACTCGAGATATTCGTAATAGATGTTTATTTCGTTGCAAATATGAACCGAAAAATATTCAGTTGAGCGTATTAAGTACAATTATCTGATCACAAATATATCCAATATAAGCCAGATTTTGCTTCTAGCTGAAATCCTGATAGCAAGAATGATGAAAATTTTAGCTTCAATACATTGCAGTAATACTGCCACGCTCATCAGGGCGAATAGTATTTGCTTGCTGATATCGTTTCCATTAATATCATTTCAATCATTCATTCATTAACCAATCGAGAAACCACTTGGAATACTGTGATCACTGCAAGCATAAATTATTCGAGGCTGTTTTACGCATTGCATTCTATATTAGTACCAATTACATTAGTACCAATTATAGGAGAATTTGTGATAATGCTCTTTAAGATAGAAAACTCAAAGCGAAATATTTTTAAAAAATCGTTTCAAAATTTGTTCTACTTAAATATTACAGATAGTTACTAATAGTGGTTAAGTAATCTGCCGTAAAAATGTTTTTAAAATTTGGTAAAGTTAAACATTCTATACAGACAAGTTCTGTACACAAAAACGCATCGATAGTTGTTCTTGGTTACTCACATTGATAAAAGAGCATTAACAGTAATCATAATAACAAGAAGTTGCTCATATAACAAAACCCTCTCGCTTAGCATGCTTATGCTTTGTTACACCTGCCCAGTTTGGGCATATTCCCCTCCCCCCGCACCAATAAACAAACAGCTAAAAGCGGCTCAGAACTGCATCCTGAGACAAATATCTGGCTACTTTCTATAAACCCATCGTATAGGACGTAGACGTCCATGCTGCTACGAGAAGTCATTTAACCGAGAAAATGCCTATCATTTAGTACCAAAACTTATTACAGTGTGTGCATGAATCATCAGTTCGCGTTTGGATACATGATTTATGCTGAGTGATTAATTTTATGTTTAATTAGTGTTATGTTGCTCGAATTTTGTTGACACCTGGCGCCTCAAAGGGTACAGCGCCCGCCAGTCACCATACGACGCCACTGTGTGTGGTGCTAACGCAAGAGCAAAATGTTTTGAAGTCCCCAATGAAATGGGAAACTTTTATAGGTTCCAAAATTAGTGATTTTTGATATAAAATAAATAGTCTAGCTACCCTTCAATTCACAGAAAACGCAAAAACATCAGCAAGGCACCATCTTTCTACCGTTTGGGCAATACCGTTTCTTCGTATTTCTTAGCAACATTATGCAGCTACCTTTGTTTGGCATTACATACCTTTTAACATCTCTAAATGGACTCCCGACGCTGGCACTTGGGGGTGCTTGTCTTAAGCAGCTGCTGGTTCTGGACAATACCCGAATACTCTATGCAAGCTTTGTGGGTGCCCGGCTGCGTAGGCGCCTGGATCCTACCTGTTTTCCTGCCCATAGTACATCAGAAATAGTAGAATTCGCGAAGAACTGGGTATTACCTAGTTAACATGTCTATTACCACTTTATGGCGCACAGTTTTCTTTAAAGCATTATCCGTATATATAACTATTGCTCTGCAGGAAGTGTCAAGAGATTTATGACCGTTCTTATAACTTAATTTAGATACCATGTCCTTTGTATAAATATTAAATATTCATCTTTCTATATTAATGTATTTTTGATTGTCTCTTCTGATTTCATTTAGCCGCTGATTCGTTCTGTATCATATTATTACTTCTTCAAGAGCTTCCCTTTTGTTTTGCACATGTGGATTTTTATAACGAACCTGCGTTCATCTCTCGAACATTTGAACTCTTACCATGCTAGTGAACTACCATAGTATTGAAATAATTTTGAAATTTAGTATTTCATATATCTAAATCACTCGGACCTGTGAATAATCATAAATTTTACAATCAGTTTTGGCAGAGGTTGGAACTCGTGCTCGTGTACTCTGGCGATTTTAAACCCTGTATATTTTGAAATGCAAGATATTACATGGGAACTCATAATTAGGTTAAAATAACACGCCGAATAATAATTATTGGAGAAGTCAAACAGCGAGAATCAGCGTAATGTTTGTAAATTTTGCAGAACTAAATTTCGATGGTTCTGTACTTCAACTCTCGAAACTACTCCTGCAAAATTTACAAGCATTACGCTGATTCTTGTTGTTTAACTTCTTCAATAGCCCTGAACTACTTTAAGAATTTTCTCAATAATGAAAAATGGGAAAATGCTGATATCTTAAATCCAAACAATAATCGTGAAAGCTTAAAATAGAGATTAAGCAGTATATATAGCATTTCTCGTATATACAGTAATGATTTTAATACTAGCGGCATTTTCGGTGATTCCGAATTCATTTTGCATTACATTATAAATACCTTACTGAAAATAAACGAGATATCTTTTCAATATGCGTGAAAAATCAAACCATTTAGAAGTTAAGTCACACACCAGTGACTATTAAAGAAACGCATTATATCTTAAACAAGTTTCCGTTAAAGATGTTTTAGATAAACATGTGTAAGAATTACAAGTGTAACCAACCTTGATTTTGATTCTTCATCATCATCGTCATCATCATCTGCATCATTTGCATCATGTTAGCTGCAGGAAGCATAAAAAGTATTAAAACGTAAATTCTGAAACAAAAACAAAAAAAAACAAAACAAAAAAACAAAAAAAAAAAAAAAAACAATAGCAGACACTTCGCTCTAATAAGTTAATATCCTCTTTCTTTTATTCCAAGTGCAGTGAAAACAGGTTAAGGTAGCATCAGGTTTTCTTCTGGTGTTTTTGTAGAAATCATTACGTCACTTATCTGTAACGCTATTGCGCTTAGAATGAACAAAATGCGTCGAAATCAACCTTAGAAACTTTTTCGCATATTTAAAAGAAATACTGAATGACATGATCTGTAAATTGACAGATATCAAGTTCTGTGTTTATTTTAAAGGTTTGTTTTATGAAATTCTTGAAAATTACTACTTCCGTAACTGGCATGAATATAATAACTGAAGCACGAAAAGCACAAATTACGAAGTTTCTTTCATTCAAAAGGATAAAATTATAACTTATTTTTAAAAAAAGTGTTTTTAGGGTTAGAGATATTAGTTGTAAATAAATGTTACGAAATTAGTAGAATTTTATTTGTATTCAAATCATGTGTTAGAAAACTTATACATATTTTAAAATAGAAGGAAATGCACTAGTCAATATAATATTTGAATTTTTTTTTTTTTTTTTTTTTTTTTTTTTTTTTGAGATTTAAACATTTTTAAGTTTGAACATTAACTGAGCTGGAATGATGAATTTTCATTATCATTGCAAATTACCGAGCAAAAGGCAGAAGGAAAGATAAATTTTATTATGACCTTACTTCGGATTTCACAAATGAAAGTAAAACAAGAATTACTCTTACCAGTAACTATCATTATTTGCAGAACAGTTGATGTCCAATAAGCGCTGATTATCTTTAAAAGCCATTTAGTTAAATATCACTCTTGAATATCGTTACAGATTTTGTATACATATAAATAATTTTAATGAAATTATATGTAAATTTAGTACCTCTTTTATTAGTTAGAAAAGCATCAGAATGCGAAGCATCACCCAAAAAATAGGATTACAGGGTTATATCCATTTAACATTGAGGTAAATGGCTATCTCACCGAACTGGCGAGATTGCGTAAACTGACAATGGTTTTGGTGAATACTTTTGGTCGCCAAATTTTGAGAGAAATCACCAGGCTTGACTACTATTTTGAGACAAGCATTTAACATTGAGGTAAATGGCTATCTCACCGAACTGGCGAGATTGCGTAAACTGGCAATGGTTTTGGTGACTACTTTTGGTCGCCAAATTTTGAGAGAAATCACTAGGCTTGACTACCATTTTGAGACAAGCATTTAACATTAAGATAAAAGGCTATCTCACCGAACTGGCGAGATTGCGTAAACTGGCAATGGTTTTGGTGACTACTTTTGGTCACCAAATTTTGAGAGAAATCACTAGGCTTGACTACCATTTTGAGACAAGCATTTAACATTGAGGTAAATGGCTATCTTCTCACCGAACTGGCGAGATTGCGTAAACTGGCAATGGTTTTGGTGACTACTTTTGGTCGCCAAATTTTGTGAGAAATCACCAGGCTTGACTACCATTTTGAGACAAGCTTGCCTACCCTTGTTAAACTGTAACTGATCTGACTGCTCTTGACTTGTTTAACAGCAACTGATGTAACTGTAACTGTATACGACTTTATATAACTATTACTGTGCATGCCATCCGGTAATTTTAAATTTTCAGAAATCGAAGGTACTGGAAATTCTCGGCAGATAGGAGAAAATTGTATAAGGCCGGAGAGAGCATCAGTTTTCAGTTGAGGATTGACTTCTGAGCGATCACCGTGCAAACTTTCGCTTTGCATTGCATTGTGTTTAACGTTCTTAGTAGTTTGAGGCGGTAACTGCAGGTTCTCTACCATACTGAGAAGAATGAGTACTTTTGTGTGAAAAGTTTCAAAACTGTAAATTTATTTATTTTGGGAAAATAAATTTCTGTAAGCTTTCATCGAGTTTGTGTGCATTCAATCTGTTACGATCCCCTACGCACTTCACAATATTTTGATAGTGACAGTGGAAAGAAATTGCAGTCAGTTAGCAGATTACGGTGAAAATTATATTCTAAATAAAATGTTATTTTTATGTGATAAACATATTATTAGACATATGTAAATGCAAGATATTAGATAATATATGTAAGATATATGTAAGATATATGCGAATATATCTTGCACCTATAGTTTAATAACATGATATATCTTGCAAATCTATACATAATTGCTATATCTGTTATGTTATGAAATATGTTATACTATTGGATTCAAATAAAATTAAATTATTTCAAATAAACAAAATTGTGTTCCAAAAAAAATCGAATTTCTGATTATAATTTATCGTAGCATTAATTTTAGACTTAAATATCTTGAAGAAAAGTACAAAAACAAAATACTAAACATACATTCTAGACGGCCTTTTTTCTTAAATAATGCCAGCAAAAGTATACCGTTCGGTAACAGCTATGAGAACTCTTACTTCGTTATAGTGTTGCCACTCTATTTAAAGTACTCAGATGTGAATTTCTACGTTGGATGGCCAAGTTAGGAGAGTAATAGGCATTAAGGCCTTACTTACATTAAATTCTAAAGAAATTATTTAAGTAGCAAAGTCATTAAAAATGGTATAATTTACTTAAGCATGAGTTAACTATCTTACCTGGCATTTGCATTCCGCCTCCGCCTGAAATATAAATATAATCATATTTATATTGCACAATGTATCATTAGTATGTCATAAAATGAATTACAATTTATTCAACATTTTACCAAAGTATACACAACATTTTTATAAATAAGACTTTCTCGAAATTAATATATATATATGTAATAATAAAATTCCATAGTCAACAATACACTTAAAATTCTAACTGTATGTTCTTTTCATTTTTAATTTCGACGTTCTCTTATTTGAAAGTACGTGGAATTAAATCTACAGCCCCGCAGTCAAGTTGATTTTCCGGGATCCCCGCCTTTTCTACACGTACAGTTTTAGAATGTTCTCGAGATATTTAAAGCGAACTGGATTGGCTGACGAGGCTGACGTCATTTCTTGGAAGCTCCGCCTTTCCAGAGGCTATAAAAAAACTCACAAAAGGAATATTGGGGCTTTTTCTTTTAATGCAACGATGCTGTAAACTTCGTACAAAAAGTTATTAATAATTCTTTTTATTTACTCCGGATATCTGATTTTGTAACTGCTATTTCTCCTGGTTAATAATGATAAATGGATCCTTTGTTTTTTAAACTTATTGTCTGATTATTTAAGCTACGACTATCTCTATATTTCTTCAACGATCTATTTATTCTGGACAAAAGCTGATACATCACATATATATATATATATACTGATGTATTGAGTTATCGTATAAATAATACTACTTCTTTAATTTGAAATAAATGTCAGAGGAAGATGGGATAAACTACCTGCATCAACTTGCTCTTAAAGGTGAGGAGTAATTGTACATTGTTCTTAGTGAAAGTTTTGAAAAAAAAAGCGGTTTTATTTTAACAATTACTTCCAAAGCTAAACGGGGAAGATAAAAGAGAATATTCGGCGTGTTTTGCTTTATGAGTTCAATCAAGCAGTAAGAGGAATATTAATGCAGTATATGAAGATTGAATAGTAAACACAAACCAGAGTTAACGATTGTTCCAGCACGTCAGAGCGGCAGTTTTAGCCTGAAAAAATGAGCCTCTTCATGGTAGGAAAAATATTTCCTTGCAAATTTTGGTCTAAATGTTATTCTAAATTTAAAATTGTTATTCTCGGTATCTGAAGTCCTAAATTATTCATTTATTTTAGGAAAACTGATTTCAGTTAAATACTTATTCTCATAGAAGAATCATGTAAAATATAGTCTTACTTTTTACGTAGAAATCTTAAAATATTAAACCAAAACCTTTACATATCTTAACGGAAATATGTATGTAACAATAGATCACCCATTTTTCGAATCTGGAATTCCTGCGTTAGTTTATTTTAGCGAAACAGCTAAAGATGAACGTACTAAAATCTAAAAATTGAAAAAGGACTTTTACATATACTCGTGTGCAAGATTACGAAAATTTGCAAATTATTTTTATAGAAAGTATTAAACCAAAGTTACTAATTATGCCGCCGAAGAATTATGCAAATTTCAAAGTCGAATACGTAAGAGTACACCTGCGTGTCTGTGAAGCTGTAACTGTGGAGGGAATATAAGCGAACGAGGAGTTTTCAGCGATTTGTGTGCTCGTACTCTTTCACTATATTCGCGGTATTTATCGCAAGAACTGGGTAAATTATAAGGTTTCGAGGCTTATCTATTTATTTTTCACTAATAGTTGATTTTAAGTTGACACTTTCCTATTACTCTGTTTTCACTCACGCTTTCATGCCAGAATGTAAATGAGACAGCGAGCGTTAATTCAGATTAAGGTATAAAGAAGTGCTATTTAAGCAAGAGTTTCCGAAGTTAGTATTAGAGAGGGTCTGACTATTCCAGGCCACATTGTGGTGTGATTATTAGCGGCTTAATTTACGAGCGATGAGTGCTTCTATCCATTTAGCTTTGTCTCTACAAATCATAGCCTTGCCTGCGCGTTTAATTATCCTGTAAGCCGTTAGGCTAATCTACCAGCCAGAAGTGCTTGGCTTCTGTGAACCCAAGATGGGTAACTGTTAAGTTGTGTTCGAATAAAAGGGTCTTATACACTCTTCTTATGACTTTTGTTTTGTTTCCCAAGGCTAGAAGATAATTCTTCGAAAGTCCTTTTTTAAAGTCCGAAAGTGTATGCTCCCCTAAGAGACATAGACTTTATAGGGTACCAGGTAAAATGAGTAGCCACGAACGTGTGGATGACGGAATGTAATTGAAAGTTGTCGGTAGATTGGAATCAGACCAATCATGAACGCAGGTCACTGCAGAACTTAATGTAAGGTACAATGTCGTCTGGAATTTATGTAAAGAATTTCATGACAATGGATCCATATTGAGAAGACCTGGACAAAGTCGGTGAAGATCCACAACGATGAATGTGGATCGTTATATTGCACTTGCGCGCGACGACATAGGATTGCTACAGCTTCACAGCTCTCACATGAACTATTATGCTGCCACTCGAACCCATGTTTCACGGTCTGCAGTTGCCAGAAGGCAAGACAGGACAGTATGCCAGACGATTCGTTGTTTCTGTCCCGCTCATTGCAGTTCGTAACTGCAACACAGCGTGTTTAGCATAGTGCAGACAACATGCGCCTTAGACCAGACTTCAATAGAGCACCGTCTGTTTTACAGATGAGTCAAATTTGAGCTTGAATACTGATTCTCGGTGTACCTGCATCTGAAGAGAGTCTGGAACACAATACAATCCCTCCCTTATTAGGGAAAAGCTCCACATAATGGGTTTCCCCCTTATTAAGGGATCGCTACGGTGATGGAGGCGTAATGTTTTAGGCAGGCATTATGTCAAACTGCCGTACACCACTGCATATGTTTGACAAAGGCTCCTTGGCTGCTATGGGGTATGAAGGGAAGATCTTAGAGAGCCATGTTGAACGTTTTAGGGACGCAGATGGTCCTGTGTTCCGTTAATGGGCAACAACGCTCGTCCAAATCCGACTCAGCTGATTGACGATTGCCTGGAAAACGAGGATATTCGCCATATGGATTGACCAGTCAGATCTCCAAACCTTAAACCTTCACCTTGAGGGACGCTCTTGAGAGGACAATTCCGTCTGACCTTCCGTCCAAGAACCATACCGGCGTTAAAAACTGCCTTCCTCCAGGAGTGGGATCAACTGCCACAGGGACTCATCAACTGACTCCTTTCCAGCATGCGACCTGTTCTGTCCGTGAGTGGACTTATCTTCAATTCTGTATTACAATTTGGGTTCTAAATATCCTGGCACTATGATCTTTACTTATAATCATGAGTACATAAGATGACTTTTGAATGGTACATCTCTTTCCCAGTTGTAAATGCATATTCGTACCAAATATCATTAAAATCTGCCCATTAGGTTTTCAGAAATTTGACATAATGGGCGAATTTTGTTAAGTTTAGCACGAATGCATATATACATGTAATAATAAAATTCCAAGAATACACTTAAAATTCTAACTGTATGTTCTTTTCATTTTATTAGCGATTATTTTTTTATATTTTTATTGGCGACGGTCTGTTATTTGAAAGTACGTGGAATTAAATCCACAGCCTAAAGTTGTTTTTCCCGCCTTTTCTACACGTACAGTTATAGAATGTTCTGGATATATTTAAAGCGAACTAGAATGGCTGACGAGGCTGATGTCATTTCTTGGAAGCTCCGCCTTTCCAGAGGCTATAAAAGGACTCGTAAAGGAATATCGGGGTCTTTTTCTTTAATGTAACGATGCAGTAAACTTCATACAAAAATTTATTAGTAATTCTTTTTTATTTACTTCGGAAATATAATTTTTGTAATTGCTATTTCTCCTGATTAATAATAAATGGATCCTGTTTTTTAAACTTATCGTCTGATAATTTAAGCTACGACTACATCTATGATTCTTCACCACTCTATTTATTCCGGACAAAAGCTGGTACATCACATACATATATATCGCTGGCTAATCAGCTCCAATAAAATCCGTCCGCATGCCACCGTTGTATTTGAAGTCTATCAGAAATATTTAGTTAAGAGGAATATTTAAATCTGAATAGTTAAGAAAGTGTAATGTTATTAATGGCTTTCGAAACCATGAGCTAAATGATACCAATCAGTTTTAAATTTAAAAGATATATAAAAATAACAAAATCACTTTTAGAGAAACGAAAATCATAAAATATACTTAAAACTTTATGAAAGCATACCAGGCATTTGCATTCCGCCTCCACCTAAAATAAAAACGAAATAAATATATTTATCTTACTCAGAAACTATCAGTATCAATCTGCATCAAAATAAGATTACTAACTTGTTTATCCTAAATTTTATATTTTCATATTTCTCTTCCCATTTTAGTATTTATTATTATATTAAACAATAAACATTAAATTTTTAAAAGTAGCTTATTTTTAAAGGAATCTTAATGGGATTAATTCATTGCTCATATACCATCTATATATGTAGTGTTTGTTCGCTAATAACTCAGTCACTACTATAGCTTCGTCACCAAACTTTCTACAATTCTTTTCTGGGTCCTGGAAAAGGTCGACGTTCACTTTTTCCAAAAACAAATAGCTAAAATCAGAGGTATTAATTAAAAACTCGTAAAAATGATCATTTTCGCCCTCATTTTTTTGAGTGGCAACAGTCTCGCAAGCTGGAGATTAAAATTTGATTTATTTCGAAAGTTATTGCCACTGCTCGCTTTCAAATTGTAGAGTTTGTTAATAAAAAATTTCTAAGATTTACAATAAAATAAAAATAGCATTGCCAAACATTAAATACATTATTCCTGAATCCAAAAATTCGTAGGAAGCCATTTCGACTGCGTACTACTTTAATGAGCCGAGATATTAATTAAAAACTCCTAAAACATTAATTTTGCATTCATTTCTCGGAGTGGCAACAGTCTCGCGCGTTGGAGATAAAAATGCTTATTTCGAAAAGTGTTGCTACTGCTTGCTTTCATATCGTAGAGTTTGTTAATCAAAAATTTGTTAGTTTTGCAAAATCTATATATATATAAAGAAGAAAGTGTGTTTGCGTGTTTATTTATTTGTTCGCGTTATTGGTTTCTGATTAATTATGATAAAATAATATAACTAAAACTGAATATAAGTGAAATATTGGATGGAACTTGAGCTTTCAAGACCATTTGATTAGAAAGGCGAAAATCATTGAAAACTGCGTGCCGTTGTTGCTGATATAATGAGAGAAAATTACTTAATTTTTCTATCGAAATTTTTTATGTCGGTTCTCTATCGCATGAGACTGAAAAATGTATGACTATGAATCGTATGTTTTGCATCGGTTTTAGAGAAGGATTACAGCGGTATCGTTCTTTCTGTTGTTAGATTACTCTTAATCTAGCTTAATTGCCATCGACTAGTTCCGCTAGTTTGATATATTTTTTAAAAAAGGTTGCCGAGATGGATCAAAATAAAAATAAATAAATTGAAACCTTTTTAGATAGCTTCAAAAAATAATATTTACCTTGCATTTGACCTCCGCCACCTAAGAAAAAAGAATAATTCTTAAATATCGCAAGACGTTCTAAAATGTGTTGTCAGAAGTATTTAATAACATTACATTAAACGTAATATTTACCTTGCATTTGCCCACCACCTCCTAAAAAATATACATTCATTTTTAAATGGATAAAAATTAAAAATAAAGCAAATTAAAATTGGTTAAGGAACAGTAAATGAATATAGCTATTAAAATAGATAAAAATCTTGGAAAGAAAACGTTACAAAAAGAGGGAAATACTATTTAAAATTGCTCACATTAACTATTCTACCAAGTACGCAAGTATATAATTACATTTTATTATGTTGCATATCTTTCATAAATAATTATAAATCAATTATACCTTGCATTTGCATTCCTCCTCCTCCTAAAAAGAAAATGAATTTACATAATTAAAGAAGCACTTGAAAGGCAGAAATATGATTTTGAACAGTAATCTTGAGAAAGATTATTTCCTTCTTCCACTATTTTCACAGTATTTTAAATATCAATATGATTTAAATGCTGTAATCAAGTGGCTTATAACTTGAACAATGATTGCATTACTCTTAGTTATGTAGTTATTACTTATAGTAAAAAAATCTTATAAATGTTCTTTAAAAAATCTTAAAATTTGTCACTTTAAATGTGCATTTGTAAATGTATGTTTTAACAGTTTGTTTAAATATCTTTGTTAAGTTGTGGCATTTTATATTTAAGTTTTACTAATGAAAGGTAATTTAATTTCAGCCTCTTTTCGCCATGAAGCTGTCTTATTCCAGAATTCATGTAGATTTTGAGTGATAAGCCAGTTTACTATAAAGTGTAGAACTTTTATGAATAGGAGAGTGATAGTTTGGGCCTACTTCCGCTGTCTACCGATAAAAAAAGGCAGTTCTTACTTTATACAAAGGTTAAATCCTGCTTGGTAATTGTTGGTACTGCTTGTTGTTCGAAATTCTGACAGGGTATTGGGGGGTAATCTTTCAGTCACTGCATAGGTTAGACTTTCTCTTTCAGCTACAACTTCCACTTGTCTTAAACTAATCACTCTGCAATTTAAGTACTAATCTTCCATACGTTTAGATTTAGAAAACGTAGAAACATTTTCCCCGAAATCTTTTATCACTAGGCTTCTCAAATGGAAACCTTTTTCGAATTTCTATCTTTCTTTTAAGCAACCGTTTTAGATTAAATGAACGCTGAAAATTGTCTCCCTAATCTAATCACTGAAATAGAAGAATATCTAATGTTATGACTTAAGGCATAAAACTAATATCATATTCCTATGAGTATAAAATGCCAATTCAAGAAATGGTATTATATTAATCTTTTATTAAGATTATCATCTACTGAGAACTTCTCGAAAAGCCTCCCGCTGCATACGGTGATTGCAGAAATGTGTTAGTCTTTGGTTTTAAAATTAAATCTGGAGTAATATTTAAATATTTGTAATAACTCGAAGTACGGAATATAAAACGTGTGCGCCTTGAAAGCCTTTACATGTGGTTGTGGTAAAGCAAGAGCGGTTGTCAACGCTACTTATGTCGCAGTTCTCAAAGAGTAGCTGAACTTGTTCCCGAGCTTTACAGTCTGATTTAGCAGCAACTGTACGAGACTTTTACATATCATGTTCTGAAATAATCAATATAAGAATGGTGTTAAGCAAGTTATCGGGCTTTACAGTCTGACTGTAAAGTAGCTGTACGAGACTTTCACATATCCGTGTCCTGAAACAATCAGAATAAAAATGGCGTAAAGCAAATTAATTCTGAGAACACTAACGCCTTATTAGGTGTATGATTTAATCTTATAAAATTTTTCATAGGATTTCACTTTGCATTTTGCCCAATAAGAGCAAAAAATAAGTAAGATGAAGTTTTAGCAAAGTTTCAAATGTCGTTTTATCTTACTAAACAACAACGCTATTGCCAAATAATGTTCTTGATAAATTTGAAACTAAGGTTTACAGCCTACGGCAAATATTTGATACCGATAAAAATAAACTGTTCGAGGACCTGAAAGAACGTACATCTCAATAGATTCGAACTCAAATCCTCTAAGAACAGAATTACTCTTTGAATTAGCAGTTATAAACTTAAACTAATCTACAAACCCTCCTTTATTTGATGATAAAACTTAGCTTTTCAAATGAGCAAACCTTTTCACTTATTTGGATTAAATCAGCAAGCGTTCTTTAAAATACCGTTATTAACATACAAGCTATAATCATGTTAAAATTAGATTTGCTAAGATTCTCCTTACTAATCATTTGCCCTTTTTGGATATAAAATTCGTGTCAAAGGGAGCAGTGCAAGAAAAAAGGTTCAAGCAGAACTTCTGCGCACTTATCTTGCCGTCAAATGTATCAAGGATAATGGGACAGCATCCTCAAGGTGCCTTATTTGTTCTGATTCTTTTTACCTTTTGAACAGTATTACCAGCTGCGACAAATTACTAGTTATCGAAACGCTATTAACTATTAGTTCGCTTAGAAATAGAGGAATTGATGTCCGCTTTTCTTATGTGCATGCTTATTACGGTTTCTATGGAAATGAATGAGCTGATTTCTTAGCAAAAGATGTCTTAAATTTACCCATTGATATCAACATTAGCATTCTGAAGAGCTATTGGAAGTCTTATCATCATAAGAAGCTTTTAGCTAAATGGTATGAGGAATATATTTCATCTTGTAATGCTGAGGTCACCAAAACGTTCTTTCCTTCTGTTTCATAGGCTGCATTCCGAGTCTTTCCTCTCTATTAATTTTTAAAGTATGTCAATTTTTCTCTGGTCCCGGTAAATTTGCAAGTTACCCGTTTCGTTCCAATCTAAGAGCAAACAATTTATGTGAATGTCCAAAAAGAGTAACTCAGGATGTGGAACATTTAATTTTCTCATGAGATACATTTGATGGCTCTAGCTTATGCTTGCAGAATGATTTGAAAATGCTTGGAGTGACTTGGCCAGTGAACTTTTCTGTTTTCGTGAAGTCCAGACTGCTGTTCTCTGCTTTCGTTCGTTTTATTTAACATGCAAATTTTAATGTTTTAGTTAACTTACTTCTGTAAACCCCGTGTTGTACATCTGGGGTGCTCGGGGAGTCTGTATGTTTTCAAATATTTTTTTTAAAAAAATACATATATTGATCACTGTCTGCCGCAAAAGTGTGATGACAAGTGTGTACTCTCAACTCATGAACTCATTACTGTTCAAAACCATATATTAGTTATCAGAAGAGTTTTTGATTCTCTAAAAATTTGCATTATATTACATAAAATATACTTATAAATGGATTATAATCCAGTTATTATTCCAAGCAATCAAAGCGCATACCGTAGAAGACATTAGTTCTGGGTGATAGGAAAATTGTTTGCACCATCAAAATCATTTAAGCATTGATGACATATTGGAACACTTAGGATCTATAGCCTTTTAATCTGAGAATTTACCCGAGCATTTATATGATGATATATTACGGACATTGTTAGGTCATAACTTTGAATACCTCAATATATCACAATAAATAATAAATGACAGTATATTTTAATGATTTAATTTCCTGTATACTTATTAATTCTAGATTCTTGTAATATATTTAATTTACATTAAATTAAAATTTCAGCTAAAATTGAAAACGAACAAATGGCAAAATATTAAAATGAAAAAAATATTATAATAATAGCATATCATTAAATTCGGTTTAAAAAATGCTTAAATAGTGCATTAACTATTTAATAAAATACTTAAATATTTAATACCATCTTATTGTGTTACATATCCTGTATAAATAATTAAAAATAAATCATACCTTGCATTTGCATTGCACCTCCTCCTAAAAGAAAAATATTCTACATAATTAAAAGAACATTTTAAAATCAGGATGTGATTTTAACAGTTATTTTTATTTTTAAGATAAACTATTTCCTTCTTTTAATACTTTCACAGTTGTTTAAATGTTAGTTATATTTAAACGCTATAATCAAGTAGACGATAAATTAAACACGAATTGATCCCTCTTACGTAATATATATGTTACCGTGAAAGACCGAAATTGGAGAATGTCGACTTTCACCGGAGAATATCAACATTCACCAAATACGTCGGTGAAAGACCGAATATTTCACTACATTCTTGTATATTCGGACCCTCACCGGTGTATGTCGACAATCACAGGTATGCTCTGGTGAAAGTCGAAAAGAGAGGTCATTAAGTGCCATAATAGTTTAAGTTGTTGCAATAAAATAAGATTTGAATCGCATAATTTAGTAAGTTTTTTATGACTGTTATTTTATTTTCTCATTTAGAACGTACTGTATAATTAAGCAAGTTTTTAACTTCTATTATTTTCTTTCTCATTTTGAATGTATTGTGTGCTTTAGGTTCTCATGTTCATAAGTTCTTATTTCAAGTCTCAAGTGCGTTTATTCGCGACTGAATTACGGAGAAGAAAATATAATATTGTTATATGTTCAACATTCACCATTAGTACATGGTGAATGTCGACATTGACCGGTGTAAGTCAGAAATAAGAGTATTTGGAAAATATTTCGGACATACACCAAGAGACTATGTGAATGTTGACATTCACCGGTGAAAGTCGACATTCTCCAGATTTCGGTGTTTCACCGTAACATATACATCGTTCATGATGTAAAGGTTTTCCCAAATAAGTGCTCTTTTAAAAAAAGTTAAAATTTGACAATTAAAATATACATTTCCTTTTGTATTATCATGATGTCCTCGAAACTAAGGGCTCAAGGGTACGTCGAATACTTACCACACGAATAAAAATAAACTGTTCTGGGAGTAAAATGAGCTTACATCTCAAAAGTTCCAATCCAAGCTAAACCTGCACACAATTCCTCTAAGACAAAATTATTTTCTTGAATTAATGCTGTCAGCAGTTTATGTTAGTCAGCAGTAAGCTACAAAGTCTAATATAAACGTTGAATACCTCAATACATTACATTCATAAATGAGAGCATATTTTGTGATGGTTCAAGTTGCCATATACTAATTAATTCTGTATTTATATACTGTACTTAACTTTCCTTAAAATAATATACAGTTAAAATTTTAAATTAAAATAAAATAGATTAATAATAAATTGTGACAAAATCTTAGGATGAAAATATTACAAAAGCAGGAAATCCGGCTTAAAATTTCTCGAATAACTCATTAACTATTCTAGGAAATATGGAAACATTTAATTAGATTTTATTGTATTATATATCCTATATAAATAATTATAAAGTAATCATACCTTGCATTTGCATTCCACCTCCTCCTAAAAGAAAACGATTGTACGTAATTAAAGAAGCATTTTTAAATCAGGATGTATTTTTAACGATTATTCTTATTCCTAGGACATCTATTTATACTTTCACAGCTATATTTAAACAGTGTAACAGTGATCGATAACTTCAACAAGAATTCCATCACTCTTAAGTAGTATAGTCATCATTCATGATGAAAAGGTTTACCGAAATAGGTGCTCTTTAAAAAGACTTAAAATTTGACAGTTAAAATGTTTCGTTTGCGTTTGCGTTGATAAACTTATGTATATTAAGTACAATTTGTTTAATATCTTTGGTTAAGGAATATGTAGAAGTTTTTAATGTATTTGGGAATATTTATTAAAAATATACATCGTATTTTTTTGAAATGTCTTTATTTTGTTTGTTAGTGAACAAAGTCTTATACATTTTTATTTCGAAAGGCAAAATCATTATTTACTAAATCTTTATCGATAAGTTTCCAAGGTGCAAAATGTTATTTAATGTATTTCTTTCTTTTAAGAAACTATTTTAGATCAAAGAAGGGACGGTTTCATTACAGTCGAAAACAAATCAACAATCGCAACAGTTATTAGGAGGAAACAACGAGTTGTAAAGCCTTATAAAGAAAATTACAATTAAATCACGAAAATGTGATTATAGAAACAGGTGAACGGTCTGACGTTACGATTTGAGGCGCAGTAATATTGCAGTATTCCTATGAGTATATTATGTCAATTCGATAGATGGCATCCCATTAATCTTTTATTTAAGACTATAAAAATGAACTGCGTGAGTGGGCAGTTAATGTTACATTTTCAACACAAAAAACTTCTTCAAAAGCCACCTACTTTATATAATTATTAGAGAAGTGGGTACGAAATAGACTTAGAATCAAATCCGGAGTAATGCTTTAATTAACACACAATAACACGCCGAATAAATACAAATTCAGAAGTCAAACAACAAAAATCAACGTTATATTTTCAAAATTTTCACAGGACTAGTTTCGATGGTTTTACCGAACCACCATCCTCAGCTGCAAAACCACAAATGAACAAGATAGGAAATAATGATTAGATAAGATAAGAAAGCCTGGACAAGAATAAGCAAGTGGCGCCATCTGTTGATGAAACCAATGTTTTAATGTTTCTCATCGTTCTACCCACGCGTCTGCTGTTATGGTTGTGGTAAAATAAGGTCGGTTATTAATGTTGTTTATATCGTAGTTCTAAGAAAATGGCTGAAACTGTTAATGGGTATTTAATGTATTTTCTCCCTGCTTTCTGCATGCCTTCTGGTGTAAATGGAAGCACACTCGATGCGTAGGCGAGAGGTCTAGGGTTCGCGCTCTGGTGAGAGCACTGGGCATTTCTAACGTCTCCTGCTTCAAAATACCTTAATAACTCTATAGGGTTTTACAGTATGTTTGTAGAGCAGCTGAACCAGGCTGCTGCATATCGTGCCCTTGAAAGTAAGAACTCAACTCCGTAATTACATGAAGGTTTCCCGAAACGTCTCCATAAACATTACAATGGAGTTAAGCATTTTTATAGCATTTTGGAACTATAAATATAGCATTTTGAAAACATATATATATATATATAGCATTTTGAAATATATATAGCATTTTGAAAACAGATCTGTTTAAGTTTATGCTTCTTTTTCTTCTCACAATTTTTAACTGGAGTTTCATTTTTCATTTTGCTCAATATGGACGAAAAATAAATAAAATAAAGTTTTTGGAAGATTTTACAGCATCGTTATATCTTGTCAAATAACATGGATAGAGTTCACTAGAATGTTTCCCGATGTCATCGAAACAAGGCTTCCATGATACGTCGAATATTTAACATGAATAAACTATACTGTTCCGTGAGTAAAAAGAGCGTGTGTTTCAAAAGCTGCAGGCTAAGTTCCTGGACACAGTTCCTCTAAGACAAAATTATTTCCTTAAATTAATGCAGTCAGTAGTTACAAATATTATCTACAAACTTTAATATAAACGTTGAATACCTCAATACGTTACATACATAAATGGCGGCGCATTTTTTTTTTATTTTTTTATTTATTTATTTATTTATTTATTTATTTATTTAATTTTTTTGTGATAGTTTTGTAAGGATTTTAAGTTTTACTAACGTTATTTTATCTTAAAACTTTGCTATCCTCTCTTATTTCCCATTTCCGGTCAGAATAAAAGCGAACAGATTTGGTTATACAAATTGTGCTTGCAAACTGTTAAGTATTTAATATATGGCTTTTAGCCAAGAGAGAGACTTTTCGCTGCCTTACCACGCGTGCGCTTTTCAGTCAGTTTCTGTCTGCCGTTAAGGCCAGAAATTAGTTCTCTTTGATATTTGAAAATGTATTGTAGTTTCTCGCATTTTGCTCACTACATACGTAGAGTTTAAAAAATCAATCTTCTCGTTACTAATCTTTATAAAGTTTCTAAGTTTAGTTCTTATTTAATTTAGTTTCTTCTTATTTTTTAAGTTTCAGACCATAAGTGCTGGTCTTTGTATCTCGAAATGCGGGATCGGCTGTACGCTGTGAGAAAATAAAGGGGTGATTTAACTCCTCCCATTTTGACGTATCTTCTAACCACTCACACGAACATAGTTTTAAGTAAACTCCCTGTTCCTACTCAGGACTCCAGTGATGTTTCCAAAGTCCATTAGAAGAAACAGAAGCCATGACAGCTTAAGTTGCCGTACAGTAATTAATTCTGGTGTTTATGCAATGTATTTAACTTTACTTAAATTAATTTTCAATTAATTCAGTTAAAAATTTTAATTCAATTAAAACAGATTAATAATATGCTTGGGACAAAATCTTAGGATGCAAATAGCAGGAAATGCGGCTTAAAAATTGTTCAAAATAACTAACTATTCTAAAGTATGGAAGTATTTAATTAGATTTTATTGTATTATATATCATATAATTAAAAATAAATCATACCTTGCATTTGCATTCCACCTCCTCCTAAAATAAAAAGAATTGTACATAATTAAAGAAGCATTTTAAAGCAGGGAATATGATTTTTAACAGTTATTCTTACCATTAGAAAAAATTATTGCCTTCTTGTAATATGTTTTTTGCTTGTTTAAATATCAGTCATATTTAACTGCTGTAATCCAGATTTAAGTTCTCATGTACTATATATTCAGTATTTATGTATTATATTTAATTTTCACGTACTTAGTTTCTATGTATGAAAATAAACTTTATTTTTTCACGTATGCAATAGAGTTTATAGTTTAGATTAAGAATACTTTAAAGTTTCCTGTGTGAATAATATTTACAATGTTCGCTTTTTCTAAAAAGATAGTGTAGATGTTAGTTTGTTACCTGGTGGAAGGGATTCAATCTGTATTCTAATTTATTAATGTTCTATAATAATAAAAGATCTCTAGGTTTTCAGTAACCACTGTATAACTTTATTGCTTATTAGGCAACTGAACTTATGATGTAATAGTATTGTGTATTAATTACGGAGGGGTATGATTAACTAGCATACTATCTGACTGTTGTTTAAAATTTTCAGTTCCCTTAATCATTGCTCATCTTCACATGGTTTTGGTCATGTTGATCACATGGTTTTGGTTATACATAGTCATGTTGGCAAGACTGCACTAATCTTGAGGAAAGGATATATATTATTCGAACTATTTAGTAACTACTACTTCTTAACTTACAGAAAAAAAGGTTTAGAAGCTAAAATATAAACTCCTAAAGGGGGCGCTTCTAAAATGGGACGTCACTGCCTTATTTATCAGAAAATTACAGTCTGTAACTTTGCAGACATCCGCCCACCGCCTTGCTTACCTCGTAACTATGGTAATGATAGCTGCGGTAGAGAGTCGTGGTCCCTAAAGGTCCCAATCACATTATGTTTCGGCTACGCGGGACTTAATGTCGAAAGGAACAATTCGCAGAATTCGCACAATTCCAGGAAACACTCGTAGCTAGGTTACCATTCTCACTTACTACAAAGACTTGAGCGCCAAACAGTAATCGATTGTCGCTCAAATCGGGATCACGTGATCCTTCAGAAGCAGAACTTTCGTTTGATTGGTTGTCTCGACCAACCCGAGACATTTTCGGTGAGGATTTAAAAAATCCCGCCATTGCTTCCGTAGCCAGGCAGGACTTCGCTTCAGGCGGGCTCTTTTTTCTAGGAATCCTCCCGTTTAAACCAGTGCTACCAAATCTCGTTTCTCAGAAAAGTCCCGTCTAGGAGGGACTGTAGCCATGTGTGATAACCTCTTAACTGTTGTCCATTTGGCTTGTTTCACGTCGCGGAAAGTATACAAAGAAAGGCTGATTAGTAGCAAATGTACGGTGAAAATAATTAATGTGTGGTGATGAAGACACCCGTTACCATCGTAATTTGGAGAGTTTGGAAAGACTTTGAAATGCCTATTTTAAAGTGACACAATAGGATTAGTGCGTAGTAGAACGTGTCGCATTTTGCCTGTACTGTTTGTTATTAAGTTATTAAATAAATGGAAGGCCAGATGTTTAAATTGTTATGCGCTCTTAAAATCTACCATCCATTGGCTATAAATTCTCAGGTGCTTCTCTGTGTTCTTTACTTATATGTGTAAGTAAAGAATATGTAAAAATGTAAAATAAAATTTGAACTTTAACTTGCAAGTACTGCATAAGTCTCATTTCCCTTTTTCTTTGGTAATCTCCTTTTTCTATTCTAAAAATAGTGATATGCTTGTAATAAATCTCTCTGAACTACATGTTTCGAAATTAGAATTCCCTATCATACGATTTTTTATATAACGCTCATGACGCATGTATTTACAAAACAACAGAAACTCTTTTAGCCAATAACAATAATGTTAAATTTTGAAAAACGAAACCTTACTAAACTAATTGAAATAAAGCGGATATATAACTTCACTAACATTAATATTGTAATCTGCTCATTTCTTATCAGCTTCTCAGTTCTGCTGGCAGGTTGTCTGTCACTTCTTTTTCTTTAAATGTATTAAAAAAGTGTGAAATGTACGGAGGTTAGCACTAATGAACGGGCGCATGTTTCGCCCTAATTGACTTGTTTATGCACTAACTCCATCGATTTGTCCTATATCAACACGTCAAAATGTTTATTACATAAGCAAGTATATATGCATGTATATTGTACGAATATGCTAGAATTATTTTTACTTTGACAGGTTTTTTTTATTATAAAACAGACTTGCACTTTTTTTGAAACACAATTTCTGTTTAATAAAAAAATGAAAAAAATGCTAAAACAAGTTAAAATAATTCAGAACACAAGACATTTTTAAAGAATTGCCCAAATTAAATTGCTTTTCAGAACAAGAATGTGATTACACAAAATACATTAAAAAGTATTCAAATACTTTAAAAATACCATTTCATTATTTTTTAATCTTGAAATTATTTTACACTTTCGTTTCGTTTCAAAAGCTTTACTGGTCACTAAATGATGCTATAGAATATAATTTTAAACTGTAGTTTATGTAAAAAATAAAGTAAAATATGCGACAGTTGAAAAATATATTCTCACCTTGACCAGGTTTAGCTACAGCCACTGTAACATGTAGATGATTTGGTCCTTAAAGAAAAAAGACATAAAATAGTTATTGAAATATCAAGAAAACATACTGATTAAAAATAAAACAAATAGCATAAAAATATATAATTTCATTATAAAAGTGTATAGACATTAGGTTATTTCGAGGCCGGAGAGATGAAAAATGAGCAACGCCTTCCCCGGGAATCGAACCACGGACCTCTGGAATACGCGCCCAGCGTGCTGATCGCTACACTACGAAGGCATGCTAAGAAGGCGGGAGAAATACCTTATATACGCCCCCTTTTTTAAAGGGTGACTGGGGTTTAAGGAACCCAGTCGCCAAATCCTGGGTGTGTAGAATCATCATCCACAACACTTTTAGTTCGGGCGCCACTGTAGAGACATTAGGTATATTTTTGGAAGCATGAGATTTGAAAAAGAAGCAACTCCTTCGCCGGAAATCGAACCACAGACCTCTGGAATACACCCCAGCGTGCAGATCACTACACCACGAAGGCACGCTAAGAAGGCAGGAGAAATACCTTATATAGTCCCCCTTTTAAATGCCGACTGCGGCTTTTAGGGGACCCAATCGCCAAATCCTGGGTGTGGAGAATCAACATCCACCACCCTTTTAGCTCGGGCGTCACTGTAGAGACATTAGGTTATTTCGAGGCCGGAGAGATGAAAATTGAACAACGCCTTCGCCGGAAATCGAACCACGAACCTCGGCAATATGTGCCCAGCGTGCTGACTACTACACTACGGAGGCATGATAAGAATGCGGAAGAAATACTTTATAAAGGTAACCAAAACTGCTTTTAGAAATTAATGAAAGTTACATAAAATGCTTCTATATATCTCTATTCAGGCAATGATATCTAAAGTACATGCTTAGATAATGTTTTGAATTATTAAATTGCATAAAAGAATATAAAAATATAAATAAATTAAATTTCCGTTTCTCTTGCTCACAAAGTGAGGCTGCTTCTGCTAGATGCCGAATTCTGCATTTTTCATTTCTATGCGTTAGTTTCCCACATGTTGGCTGCAGAAGATTTAATTTTTAACATGATAATTTCATCTTGATTATAAGAAAAGTTGAAGCTTTTATGCATGAATCTCATCAGACTCAGGAAGTATCACTATACATAACATCAAAGGAAGGAGCTATTTATTGACTTCTGTCTCGTGAATTTTATAACACAGAGAAATCTTGTTTACGAATTTAATGTATTCCTGGAGATAGTTCGTTATCCGAAATATTCGTAAAACGAGACACTTTTCCCCTTAGGAATTAATGTAAAAGGAACTTATCAGTTCCCAGCGATTCCATATGATTACTTAGAAAACAGCACTTATATGTAATTTCGCAATGCAAAACCAATGGATATTATTAAATCTAACACATACACAGTGATAATGTTCCCACAGTGTTTAATACAATTCTAATATGTAAACAATAGGAAATTTGAATTAAATTTTACCGTATCTTTACGATGGAAAGCCGACGGTCTAAGTAGAAAACGATGAAGAAACCAAAAAAGCAAAACGACATTGTTCGAAAGGGAAATCATCTTACAAAAATCTATGAGGAATCTTGGTGCTTTTCTCTTTCTCTTTCTTTTAACATCATTTGCCTCTATTTAAGAATCGCTGAGGCTTTGTTACGTTAAAAATTTATCCTCTGTGATTTACTTTTGTGTACGTTTTAAAATATTCTTGACCCAAAACATGGCATTGTCGTTGCAAATATTTTTATTGCTTATTACTGAAAAATTTTCTCGTGTCAAATAAGTAAGAACATTTTCCCTTCTGTCTTCTTCTGCTGAAGACATTTCAATTAGTGCATTAACTGCATTTTGGCATATCATTTGTTGCCACCTTACTTGTTCGTATCTCGCGACATCGTACGTCATACAAGATATTTTTCTTTTGGAAAATTCGTTCGTGACCCAAGGCGTTAGTAAACTAAGGTTCTACTCTAAATTGTTCAATTCTTCCTGCTTATCAGGAGTTATTATTTAAAGCAACATCACTTTACCTTCAGACCAACAAGTTTGCTTTCTGAAGATATAGTTAGATGTTACTCCTTGGTGAGTGGGCATTCATACAGAAAAAGGGACCAAGTCACTTAATTCTCCGTATGTGCAGTCACCTGATGCAGTCGTTCATATTTTATAAGATAGAAATGTTCAGTAAAAATTCTTATTATAATTTTTAATAAATTTTCTGTACAGTAGAATGGCGAATTATGTTAACTAACTAAACTATAACTATTATAAGGTATTTCTCCCACATGCCTAGCGTGCTTTCGTGATGTAACGGTAGCACGCTAGGCCGGTATTCCAGAGGTCCGTGGTTCGATTCCCGGCGAAGGCGGTTGCTAATTTTTCATCTCTCCGGCCTCCAAAGAATCTTAATGTCTCTACAGTGGGGCCCGAACTAAAAGGGTGGTGGATGATGATTTCTCCCCACCCAGGATTTGGCTACTAGGTCCCCTAAAAACCCTAGTCGCATTTGAAAAGGGGAGTATATAAGGTATTTCTCCCACTTCCCTAGCGTGCCTTCGTGGTGTAACGGTAGCACGCTGGGCCGGTACTCCAGATTAATGGTAAATAACATCTTCGATCGTTTAAATGGTAAATAACATCTTCGATAAATCTTTAAATATGTGCACTTTTTATTGCTAAAAAATGTATTGTCTTCTAAAGCAAAAAAATGTAAATAATCGTAAATTGCAGAAAAATTTCTGAACTCTTTTGAATTACTAAACCACTGTCTTTCCTATCTTCATTGACATTAGCCCTAATTATTACTTTCAAACTGTTGAACCTGTCTGCAATGAGGTAAGTTGGAAATATGTTGATAATAACATTAATAATGTAGTTTAAATGTACTAAACTTAAAAAATGCAAATACAGATTTAACAAACATGTAAACATTTTTGTATGAATCATAAATATCTTTAAGTTTCCAGTTTCAGAGATATTATTCTTCAAAATTGTCAACACCACTGTTGTCATTGACAGTTATAAAATCGGATGTCTTGAGATATATTATAAAATAGTTTTAATTTAATTTTATTTCATTTTTATTTATTTATTTAATATTTTATTTTTTAATTTTATAGTAATTCATTTACTATATATTACGTATCTACGCGAAATTATCTCCTGGGGATCTGTTTATTTTATATTTAATTGTTTATGGGTACAATATAACTAACATTACTTATTTTCATAACAAAAGTTGTGTTTAAATTCTAAAGGAGGAGAAAATGGGATAAATTATTTTAATAGAATTAAAAATAACTAGATTTCACTTCTAATTGATACAATCCAACACTGAACGTAACTATGTGAAATTATCTCGAGAGTATTTTTATTTATTTTATATTTGATTGTTTATGGGTACAATATAACTGAGATTACTTTTAATGAGTAATCTCAGTTATAATACTCATAATAAAATTACTATACTATTACTATACTGTACTCATAATAAAATTGTACTCTCATTTCTTACATTCAATTCATAAATATTGTACTCTCATTTTCATTATAAAAGTTGCGTTTAATTCTAAAGGAGAAGAAAATGGGTGTCTTAAAAGAATTAGAAATAACTGGATTTCAAATTCACTGATCCAAGCAATTTTCGTCCAGTTATTTGGTTAAGCGAAGCCCTTTCCCTTTATGTCTTAAAATAGTAATTGTTTATAAAAAGTTCTTCCAAACTTCGGCTTTTTAAAGTCAATCCATATCATATGATTCATGCATAACACTAATAATGTAAGCATTAATTAAAGGCTTCAGCAAATAATGATTTCTATTTGAAAATCGAAACTCATTATTAACCAAGGGAGATCAAATGTAAACTAAAGCTAATCATTCCAAACCCAAATTATCTCTTCTACACCTAGCATTCGTTCTCTGCCTAGCTAGAATGCTTATTCTTCTTTCTTCCAATATATTTAAAGCATGCAGAAGGTGCTGATATAGTTCTTAACAGGCACTTAACTGCGCCAGTTTATCTGTATTGACTTCGAAATGTTTGCAACAAGAATAAAAAAATATTAAGCCTGCATGACTGCAAGTGTAAGGTATTTCTCCCACCTTCTTGGCGAGTCTTCGTGATGTAGTGGCTCTGCACGCTGGGCCAGTATTCCAGAGGTTCGTGGTTCGATTCCCGGCGAAGGCGGTTGCTATTTTTCTTCTTTCATGCTTCCAAAAATATCCTAATGTCTCAAAAGTTGCGCCCGAACTGAAAGAGTGGTGGGTGATGATTTCTCCTCACCCAGGATTTGGCGATTGAGTCCCCTAAAACCTCCAGTCGCCCTTTAAAAGGGAGAGTATGTATAAGGTATTTCTCCCACCTTCTTGGCATGCCTTCGTGGTGTAGTGGTTCTGTACGCTCGATCGGTATTCCAGAAGTCCTTGGTTCGATTCCCGGCGAAGGCGGTAGCTATTTTTCATCTTTCTTAATGTTTTTACACAAGTACCTCAGTTTTCTCTTCCAAATTATTTCATATATACATTCGTTTTTCTGCATGAGGTCTAAGAAAGAGTGGAAGGGATTGATGTAGACGGCTAATACATAGTTAATATTGAGTTATTTATTTGTTTAACGATATGCGACAAAATATGTCACAGTTATCTAAGAGAGGAATACCTTCGTGGAAAATTGTCTGAGCGAAACTATCTCGTATTTACATTATACATGGAGAAAACCAATAATCTGTGATAAAATCAATAACACCCGCAGGTAATATAAATCGAAAAATATGGATTCAGGTTCTGGAAAGAATCTGATTTATATCTTCCAACTGTGATGAATGACGAGTTTAATTTTTATTAAGAACTCTGTCGCAACAATGAATTATGAGCATCTTATTAATTTGTAAAAGTCAATCAGTCAATTCGTGTCCTATAAGATGGACAGTCTAAACTGAAATACAGTGGTACTTCGGAACACGAACGCCTTATTTCACAGACAATTCCGTTCATGAACAAATTATCTAAGCAAAAAGCGCCTCAGAT